GTTAGTGGTAGTTTGATAGGGATTGCATTAAATCTGTACAGCAATTTTGGGAGTATGGCCATCTTCACAATGTTGGTTCTTCCTATCCAGGAGCATGGAATATGTTTCTATTTTCTGACATCCTTTATGATCTCTTTTTTCAGAGTACTGCAATATTCCTTGAATAGATTTTTTACTTCTTTAGTTAGATGGATTCCAAGGTATTTCATTTTCTGCGGAGCTATTGTAAAAGGTATTGTTTCTCTAATTTCCCTCTTGGTGTGTTTGCTATCTGTGTGGAGGAATACTGTTGACTTTTGAGTATTGACTTTGTATTCTGCTATGCTACTGAATTTGTGTATCAATTCTAGTAGTTTCTTGATGAAGTTTTTTGGGTCTTCTGAGTAAAGTATCTTGTCATCTGCAAATAATGATAGCTTAACTTCTTCTTTACCTATTCTTATTCCTTTTATTTCTTTCTCTTGTCTAATGGCTGTAGCTAATGATTCCAGAACTATAATGAATAGAAGTGGTGATAGAGGACATCCTTGTCTTGTACCAGATCTCAGAGTAAAAGATTTCAGTTTTTCCCCATTTAGAATTATATTAGCTGTTGAGTTGTCATAGACGGCTTTTATGAGATTGAAGTAGAGGCCATCTATTTCAATTTTTCTGTATTTGTCTTACCTTTTCCCATAAAATAATATTTAAAACTCTGATTTTTGCTTGCAACTTTTGCTACTAGCGAAACATTGATCTTTAGTGCTTTTATATTGTGGCTATGTAGTATTTGAAGAATGATAGATTTTTGTTTATCTTATTTATTTGTGTGTATGTGTTTGTGAGTTGTTCTCAGTGCTCAGGCTGAGTGCAGCTTCCAAGGCCTGTGACGTCCGAGTGGAGGCAGTGCAGGTGCTGTAACACACGCGAAGGCCCCTTACTATAGTGGCCTGAGGGGAGTCATTGTGGTGGGAGGAGCCCTGGGCTGGGGGCTTGGTGAAGAGCTCCATGGTCTGCACCAGTGTTCCTCGTGAGCCTGCTTCCAGAAGGTAGAACAGGAAGCCTGGTGCACGTGAGGGTCAAGCTGTCCAGATGTTCAATGCTGTTTGGTATTGGATGCTTCCCGTAGTGGTTAAACTGGGTAAGAGGATGGCAGATAAAATATTTCAATATATTCCGAAGAGACAATCTGAGGAACAATATTCCTAGGAATTTGCAGTGCAAGAGAATGACCCGTAGGAAGCATCATGTGCCCACTTCTTTATAAAAGTTTCCATAAGATTCTCCTACCTGTCTGGAAAGTCTTTGATCTGGGGCAGAGGTCGCATCAGCTGGGGCTCTATCGCATTTTACATTGGCTCTCTATATGATCTAAGCAACTATTTGTCTTTCTGCATTTCTTGTATAGATTTTTTTTTTTTTTACTAGCTTTGTTAGTGGACAGATTGAGAACAGAATAAGCTTGTGATATCAGTGTTCAAGACAGGAGTGTGGCTGCAAAGTATAGAATAGTTTATGTGCTGTAATCGAGAATGGGGTTGAGTGAGAGGGTGGCTTCAAATGATGGGGCGCATCCTGGGAATTAAACTTGATGGCCTCTGCAAATGGCCTAGCGCCACATGTTCTAAGCCATAATGGTGCACAACACCATCAGTTCCTGCAGGACTTCTGGACTCGGAGACAGTACAAAGAGATTTGAACTTGTTAAATTGGATCACAGTGGAGCAGCAAGTGCACCATCCCCCATTGTATGTCAGATTTTGGTAGTTCCCCAGGAGAGAGTTCCTGCTGCAGTTTCTACTCCTTGTGCTTATTGTGGTGCATATTGTAAGAAGCAATCAAGGAGCACCAATTACTCTGCTTCTGAACTTCCCCTTTGCAACCTCATAAAAGCCTGCCTTCTTTAGCTTTTGGGGCAGGACATTTTTATAAGGATTGATTCTTTGTCAGTGTCCATCAACTGGGCAAATGGACACAAATAAATCTGCCTCCAAATTCTGAGTGTCATTCTGGTGTATTTGTCCTAGTAAAACCAATAGGTTTTACACCTATTTGGTAGAAAAAGATAATTGAAAGCCCAGTTTGAAGAGCAGTTTTCCCTGGGATTCGCCCTTCACCTAACTGACCAACAGGCGGCAGCACGTGGCCATCTCTTTACAAAGGTAATCTCTGTAATCTTGGCCCTGCCCAGAAAGAGGTGGGATCCTGTATGAGACATAAGTTTGTGTCATTTACAATAACCAGCCCCCAAAGGCATTTTTATGTTCACTCAGTAGTTTAAGTTTATACTTGTGGAGGCTGTGGAGATAGCTGAGTGGCACAAGCACCTGCTTGGCAAACACAAGGTCCTGAGTTGAATCCCTAGTACAAAAACCAAAAGAAATCAGTGTCTAAGTTTATACTTTTGGGAGAAAATAGATTCTAAACCATGTTTTGGGGCTAGGATCTGCTTTTCATTACTTTTCTCTGGTGTCTCTCTGTGCCTGTGCCAGTCTGCCTGCCTGCCTGCCTGCCTCACCGACGTTCTCTCAGTCTCTTTTTCTCTCCCTTTCTCTCTGTCTTTCTCTGTCT